TTTTTCATTTCCTCTTTATAGGTTTCCATCATTTTCATAATTTTATGTTTAACGTAATTTTCTTCAACTTCTTCTGGGTTAGGATGGTCAAGTCTTCCTTTTGTGTGGCCACTGAGTTCTGGTATTACTATGTTGCTTTTGAGGTTGTTGGAAGAATTCTTCCATTGGTACCTACCCTTCTCTTTCTTTAAATGAGGCCAGCAGTTTTTTTCTGTCTTGGTCCAATCCTTGCTGTGGCTGTCTGAGTGTTTGGGAGTTTTTCTTGGTCTGCTCTGTACTATCAATGTCTGTCTCAGTAAGCCTCTGAGGTCTCTATAAGCCTGCTCTCTTGGTCTTCTCTCTTGGTTTGCTCTCTTGGTGCTCTTTCTCAATCTACTCAGTGTTGTAATAAGGTCTTGGTCCCTCTTAGGTCCCCTCTGTATTGGGGCTGTGTTTCAGAGTTCCATGGAGGTTGTAGGAGGATAGGCAGTTTTGGGGGTGGGGTGTAGTTAGTTCTTTAGATGGTGGATGGATGGGTTTGGGTTTGGTGGGCATCCTAACCACAGGAAACTTCCAGCTGGCTGGCTAGAAAAGCCAAGGAATTTGGGGGAGGGGGCCACAGTTTTGTTCACTGGGGAGGTTTTAGAGAGTGGTGTGTTCTGCTGTGTGGTGTAGCTGTTCACTCACCTTTTAAGTCCTCTCAGTACTGAAGTAATCTGTGTTTCAGAGTTCCACCAAGGTTGCAGGAGGATAGGCAGGTTTGGCGGTGGGTGTGTCTATTAGTTTAGATGGTGGCTGGCTGGGTTTGGGTTTGGGGTCATCCTAGCTACAGGAAACTCCCTGCTGACTGGCTAGAAAAGCCAAGGGAGTTGTGGGAGGTTCCCGGAGCTTTGTCCCACTGGTAAGGTCCTAGAGAGTGGTGTGTCCTGGTATGTGGCTGTTCACTAACCTCTTAATTTCACTCATTATTGGAGCAAGCTGTGTTTCAGTGTTCCCTTAAATTGGCATTTTCAAAAGCCAGAGATTCAATAAGAACTCATCAACTTCTGGGTTTGTTACTCCTACTTGTACAGCCTTAGTTAATCTTTATGAAAAGTCTCCAAAGTGTTCCCTTTGGTCTGTTTAAGGCTTCTATGTGGCATAGGTACAAGATTTGTTCATTGTAAAGAGCTTTTTCCCTTGCCAAAAATTTGATCTTGGGAAGCCTTAAGTCTTTTTGTTTTTTTTTTCTTGTTGTTCTAAAATTATTGCCTCTTCTCACCAATAATATTTCCACAGTATTTGTGGCCTATTTTCCAGAACTGCTGAAACCAATTGAAGCCAATCATGTAGGGTAGCCTTATTGCTGGAAGCCCATGTATTTACTAAATGGAGAATGAAAGCCATAAGATACCACTGCCTGCTTATTTTCTTTTTCATCGTTCATAACTATAAGTATCCATCTACATTCTTTGGATCATTTTGGCCATTTAGAACATGATGCTTTTTCACAGGTGATTAGAGGGTAGGAAGCTAAAACCCTGGATAAGTCATCTCTGACTCTGAGGTGTACTGGCTATGTTAAACCCTGTTCTTTTATCTTTTCTCCCCGCCTATCAGTTCTCATAATTTCCATAAATCACATTGAGAACTGGGACCTGCAGGATGACTTCAGGGTTGCCAGCCAAGTCAGTGATGTGAAGGTATAAGGACACCCCCTTTTCCATGACCTCAGCTTTTCAGCCAGCCAGAGACACTTCTAGTGTGGCATTTGCACCAAATTTTGCTTTTATTCTCAGTGCCATTCATCTCAATTATCAGTTTGTCTATCTTCTCTTGTTTTGCAACATTCAGCTTCTTGCTAGCCAGAGCAGGTGTTGAAATAAGAGTGGCAGGGCTGCGTCCCCAGCACCCCAGCCGCCTGGCTAGCTTATGCCCGAAATAACAACACACAAACTGTATTCATTTAAACATTGCTTAGCTCATTTCTATCTAGCCTCTTCTAGGCTAATTCTCACACCTGGACTAGCCCATTTCTTATAATTGTTTGTAGCACCCCAAGGTGCGCTTACTGGGAAGACTCTAGCCTACGTCCATCCTGGGTCGGAGCTGCCTGGGAGAGCAGAGCTTGGCGTCTCTGCTCCAAAGAGCAGAGCTGTCAAGTCTACCTGGGAGAGCTGAGCATGGCGTCTCTGCTCCAAAGATATCATTATGTTTTTCTGCTGTGTAGTACTCCATTGTGTAAATGTACCACATTTTCCTTATCCATTCTTTGGTCAAGGTTAGGTTGTTTCCAGCTTCTGGCTATGACAAACAATGCTACTTTGAACTACTATTTGAACATAGTTGAACACATGTCTTTGTGGTATGATTGAGTATCCTTTGGGTATATAAGCAAACGTGGTATTGCTAAGTCTTGAGGAAGGTTGTTTCCTAATTTTCTAAGAAATCACCATACTGATATCCAAAGGGGCTGTACCAGCTTGCACATCCACCAGCAATGTGGGAGTGTTCCCTTTATCCCACAACCTCTCCAGCATAAGTTGTCATCAGTGTTTCTGATCTTGGCCATTCTTACAGGTGTAAGATGGAATCTCAGAGTTGTTTTGACTTGCATTTTTCTAATGGCTAAGTGATACTTTCTAAATGCCAGAAAATGTTCAAAAGTAATGATTTCTAATCCAGCTTTAAGTAAGTATAACCCAGTATTTCCCATGAGCAAATTCTAAATAAATTGGCTTATAAAGTACAAGATACTGTGATATTGTGATATCCATGGGAAGATATGTTAACTCTTTCAGAGAGCAACTAGTCTACATAATTTGAATGATCTGTAATAACATTATCTCTATAACATTCCTAGGAGAGATGTAAGTGGTATCTCATTTAGTTGTTAGGGTATTGCTCATGTTTTTGGCATCACTAATATTTTCTGAATTTTAAACCTTTTATATTTTAAGTAATTCTTTGTGCTCTGACCAAAAAGTCAATCTGAAATTTCTTTTGTTGCTAAATTGAGAACACTGTCATCTATGCACAGACCTGATTCACATGCTCTCTGAGGAGAAGGGGACTTAAACTAAGGGTCTGGGTCATGCCTGCACTTGCAAAAATAAGTGACATTGCATTGAGTCGACTTAGGAAAATCATACCTTTATATCAGATATTTTCCTGATAATGTGTGTAGATGATTCCACAAAATTAGCTTTGCAGCATAAACTTTCAGCTCTATTTATTTAGTTTTACATCGCTGGACATCTTAGCAGTGTGAAAGGGATGATAAGTAAGTGATAATGTGGATTTAACTAAGACTTATTTACAAAATTTGAAAGTTACTAAGAGAAATAAGAAATGCATAATATCAATTGGTTTTAAAAATCTAAATAAGTTTTGAACAAAGACTTAAATCCCTAAACAAAAAAATTGAGATTTTTTTTTGTAAGTTGAAGAAAAAAAGGAAACTTACAGAAGACATTGTTACCTACAAGTATTTTTCTGGGTAGGTATCATTAATTTTTATTTAGAGACTAGGACTTCACACTGTCAGATATATTCTAAGTAAAATAAATTTGCCTCATGTTATTGCAACGAAAGGAAGTATGTTTAAGTTCTCCAGGTTTTCATTTTATTTGATTAACTATTTTCCCATAATGAGGCTTCTAAAAATATCCATTTTATTTTAAAGGTACTTGCTTTATTTTACTGTGACTACAAGCCAGCTGTTTACGATAATTCTGACCTCACATCTTTTAGATGATTGTTTTCAATATGGCTTTCACAAGAGGTAATTTAAGAGCTAATAGAAAACATTATTTAGAGTATGGCATTTGTCACACTTGAGTAATTATTCATGAAGTTACAGTAGGCTTGAGAAAATAATCAATATTTGTACTTACTTGACTCAAATTGTAAATAAGATCTATATGTATGCTGGGACCATTGGTTACAACATTTTTGTTTTCCTCTAAAAGATGTTCTAGAAATAAAAACATGTGAAACTCAACATCTGTGCCCGAATTCCAATTCATTCAACTCTCAGAGGATCCAGACCTACAGCCTGTTCTCTTTGGCCTCTTCTTGTCCATGGACCTCTTGGCCCTGTTTGGAAACCTGCTCATCATCCTGACAGTAAGCTCTGACTCCCATCTCCACACACCCATGTACTTCTTCCTCTCCAACCTGTCCATAGTTGATATTGGTTTCATCTCCACCACTGTTCCAAGGGTGATTATGGACATCCAAACTCACTGCCGAGTCATCTCCTATGTGGGCTGCCTGACACAGATGTCACTGTTTATAATTTTTGCATCTATGGATGATATACTTCTGGCTGTGATGGCATATGACCGGTTTGTGGCCATTTGTCACCCTCTGTATTACCAGGTTATCATGAATCCCAGTCGCTGTGGTGTCTTACTTCTAGGGTCTTTTCTTCTTAGCCTTGCAGAATTACTCATGTACTATGCAGCAATATTAAATTTTTCCAACTGTGAAGAGTTTATTGAAATTTCCAACTTCTTCTGTGACCCTTCTGAAGGACTTAAACTTGCCCACTTTGATCCTGTCACTAATACCATATTCAGATTCAGTATAGCCACTCTCTTTGGGCTGCTTCCTATGTCAGGAATCATTTTCTCTTACTTTAAAATAGTTTCCTCCATCACAAGGTCACCATCATCAAGTGGGAAGCACAGAACCTTCTCCACCTGTGGGTTTCATTTGTCCATTGTTTGCTTGTTTTATGGAACAGGAATAGGAGTGTACTTCAATTCCTTTCTGTCACATTCTCCATTAAATAATGCAGTGGCCTCAGTGATGTACACTGTGGTCACACCTATGTTGAATCCCTTCCTATACAGCCTGAGGAACAAGGACATTAAAACTTCTTTAAGGAAGATTCTTAACAGAACATTGTAATAATTGACATTATTTGTTAATTTACATTAACTTATGTATATATGCATTAATGAATATGCATTTACACACCTATATATTAATTGTTCTTATAAACTTCAGTTAATGTCACATATTCTTTTCCTAACTGATACTTTATAATATTGCATGAGAAAGTGGTGGTCATTGAAGGTGAAAATATGGTGTATGGGTAGTGAGTTGTTTTGAAGATAAAAGTCCGCATAGTTAGTGGTATCTTTAGGAGGTTTAGCCCTGTTGGACAAAGTGTGTCACTGAGGAGGCTGCCTTAGAGGTCTCTCTTGGTCATCCAATAAACTTCCTTTTGATGACAAGGTATAGCCCTCTCAGTTCCAGCACCACATCTGCCTGCATAACATCATACTCCTTGTCTTGATGATAATAGAATGAACCTCTGAAACTGTAACCAGTCACTTTAATTAAAGATTTTCTGTATAAGAGTTGTTGTAGTCATAGACTCACTTCATAGCAATAGAAAACACTAACCAAAACAGAAATTGGTACCAGGCACTGGGATATTGTTGTGATATACCAGACCATGTGTTTGGAGGAATTTGGACTTTGGTATTTTGGGGTATGAAGGTAGTGTGTTGCAAAGAGAGGGGGCCCTTTGTCCCGGCTGCTGGGCTATCTCACACCTGAAATAATCACACAGAAACTGTATTCATTAAAACACTGCTTGGACCATTAGCTTATTGGTTAATTCTTAAATCTTAATTTAACCCATTTCTATTAATCTGTGTATCACCATGTGACTGTGGCTTACTGGCAGGATTATAACCAGCATTTGTCTCAGGCAGAAGACACATGGTGTCTCTTACTCTGCCCTTCTTCCAAGCATTCAGTTCTGTCTTCTCCACCTACCTTAGTTCTGCCCTACCAGGCCCAAAGCTGTTCTTTATTCATTAACCAGTGAAAGCAAGACATGAACAGAAGAACCTCCTACACCATTTCCTTTTTTTCTGTTTAAACAAAAAGAAAGACTTTAACTTTAACACAGTAATATTACATATAACAAAACAGGTATCAAATTAAAGTTACAGTTATAATACATATATTTACTTTATCTTTTATCACAACTAAGGAGAACTATATATAACTATAACTATAAATTCTTCAACTCCATCAAAGACTCCAGAAGGATATAATATTACCTAAGTAAACAGAAAGTGCATTGTAAGCAACTTTCAAAGCTCTAGAAATTACAAAGACATCTTGCTGCCTGACAGTTACCCAATGTTCTTCTATACCATTGGGGCATCCATCTTCGACCTTCAGGCCCATAGTATCCAGCAGACTTTTCCATGAAGCAGGAAATTTGAAAGACAGTTCTGCCTATATTGGCAGTTTTCAGTTACTTCCTTCCATGTCCTGAAGAATGTCTCACAGACTCTTTCATGAAGCAGGAACCCCGAAGGACCATCTTACCTTTTGGCAAGTTTAGCAGTCATCTCTCTGTGGTTTCTTCATGTCCAGTTTATGTAACAGTCCAGGCAAGAGCATTTTCATTCTTTTTGTTTCTTTTCTCTCTCTTTATATATATATATTTATATTGAAAAAATTTGCGCCTCCTCCCCACCTCCCATTTCCCTTCCCCTTTCTTACTCCACTCCCTGTCCCCCC